TCATAAGGTTTTCCCTGGCCAATTCTTTGAGAAGTGGACGGCCTCTTCCTTCTTCCTAGTCTGTCTCAGTCTATAAGCTGGGCTGTTACCTGTGCACCAGGTGCATCTCACTGGGTTCTAAACACCAGAGGCTCAGCCTCAAAACTCACATCTACATGTCACCACAGTAGGACAAACCAACAGACAAGTTTGTCTTGCTTTTGGAGACCTCTCGTACCACCCCAACCTGGGTCCCTGTGGCTGACTGTACCTCTGTCTGGCTTCCTGGCTTTTAATCCCCTTTCTCCTGCTCTTCTTGCCTGCAGCTTTGGGTGTCCCTGAGTTGTCCCTGGGGATGACTGCTCCCCTGTCCAGGTTCCTGGCTTTTATCCCCTTTCTCCTGCTCTTCTGGTCTGCTACTCTGGGCTGGCCTGAGTTTCCTTTCCTCACCTAATCTCTTCGGCTGATTGCTCTTCTCTCTGGCTTCCTGGCTTTTAATCCCCTTTCTCCTGCTCTTCCTGCCTGCTACTTTGGGCATCTCTGAGTTGTCTCTCCTCACCTGTAACCCTGGGGCTGACTGCTCTTCTGTCCGGGTTCCTGGCTTTTATACCCTTTCTCCTGCTCTTCCGGCCTGCTACTCTGGGCGGGCCTGAGTTTCCTCTCCTCACCTTTTAGGATATAAATAATACAAATATTTTCCATTCATAAAGCCTGACTAGCTAACTTTCCATAGTCGTGTTAATAGGGATGAGCCCAAAGCCTCATGCTTTCATGTCATTTATTCAACAGCCCCTTTCATTTCACATCTATCTATTTAACCTCCTTCTCAGCCAAACCTTTTTCAAAAATACCTAGGAAGCACCAAAAACTAATTGATTTGTGATTCATTGTTCATCCTTCCCCTTTATCTTCATTGTCTATGAAAAAGGAAATGACAAGGAGCAGTAGGGTCAAAGAGAAGTTTGGGGATAATCTGTCCCAAGACAACTAAGAATTAACCATTTAATTCAGAAATATGTATCTCTCTCTAACCCTGAGTAGGCCTGCTTGCAATCCTAATAAAGAAAAAAAAATCATATTATTTATTCAACATCTACTTTGTTAGCTCATGATCAGATTGATGCTGTCCCATTTCCAACCTTCACTTCCTCACTTCCATTTGAGATAATTTTCAGAATGCGCACTCATATCTTCATTGGTCCATCCTAAAGAAAGGGCTCAGAGTCCTATCACATTATTTGGAAAGATTATTCACTTCTGTGCCATAGATGTTTCTTCTTTTAATCTTACTGTCTGATTACTTTAAAAATAAAACAAAAAACCTCCATCTTTCCCATAAAATACAAAATGATGATTAATGTTCAGTGTCTATAAGCAAAATTAGTAAAAATTTTACAATTACAAACATTTAAATTACTAGCAATACAATGTTCTGTCCACTTCTCTTTAAAAACTGACAATCATGATACTTTGCTATAGCACTACAAAAAAAATAGTAAGCACATAGAAAGACACCACTTCAGTGTAAGAAATATGCACCTTACAAATCCCAAGCTTTATCTTATTCCTGTTGACATCCATCTCTTCCCAGACATCCTTCTCTTGAGGACGAGGCAATTTATCTGGTGATACACCAACAGGGATGCCATTCTCTCCATCACTAAGCTGTTCATCTGGAAACACCTCATCGGTATTTTCTCGAAGTAAGTCTCCTGGAATGGGAGTGGCGTTGGCAATTCTGAAAATGAGGGAGGAAAAAAAGACAGAAGTTAAAATACCAGAATAATAAAAAAAAAATACTATGAGACTACTCTGTATTTTGTTTCTCGATTTAAATGATAAGGTCCACACACAAGAGAGTAAACCAAAAAAGAAAAAAAAAAATCCCTTAGGAATTTAGGTCACCCCAGTTCTACAGAATAAAAAACTTCTAAAATTTCATCAATTAGAATTTTCAAGCTGATTTTTATTATGTCTTGAACTTTTTATTATAGTTAGGGGGCTCTCTCTGGTGGTGCAGTACTACTAACCAGAAGGTTGGCAGTTCAGTCCCACCAGCTGCTCTATGGAAGGAAGATGGGGCTATCTACTTCTGTAAAGATTTACTGCCTCGGAAACCCAATGGGGGTCACTATGAGTAGGAGTCGACTTGAAGGCAGTGAGTTTGGTTTTGGTTGTTGTAGTTTGGGTAAAAGTTTACAGGCAAATTTGTTTTCCGTTCAACAATTTATATACATTTGGTTCCATGATGTTGGTTGCAATCCAATGTAATAGCACTCTTCTCACTTCTTCCCCGGGTTTCCATTAGTTCTTCTTTCTTGTTCCTTCCCATCTTCTGAGTTTGCTTTTGGGCAAATGCTACCCTTTTGGTCTGGTATGGTTGACTGTACTGCAGAGTATTTTCCTCCCTGGTGATATTATTCACTTCATAGGCCTATTGTTAGGAGCTCTGGTAGCATAGTGCCTAAGGCACTTGACTGCTAACCAGAAGGCTGGAGGTTCAAACCCACCAGTTACTCCTCGGAAGGAAGGTTGGGCAATCTATTTCTGTAGTGATACTAGCTCAGAAACCGAAGGAGAGGTCACTATGAGTTGGGGCCAACTCAATGGCACATAACAACAACAAGGCCTATTGTTAGACTTTAAGCTGATTTTAAAATACAAATTCTAATACAGTAACTCACTGATTTGAGAATTGCTTTAAAAGTTAGAAACATTAAACATTAATCTATTTTCCAAGAGTCTTTATTAATTACATTAAAAATTTTCTATTCTTTATCCATTATTCTTAGAGAATAACAAAAATTATGAACAGGAAAAAGCAAGCATAGTAAGGAATTAAGACGGTGTCACATCAATCAGCTTTTTTTTGTTTTGTTTTGTTTTGTTAATAGTGTGAACTATGCATTTGTTTTTCATTTACAGACTTTTTACTAAGCACCTACTACATTCAAGGCCCTGGGGATACACAGAGCAGGAAGAAAATTCTTGCTCTCCAGGGTAAGTTAGAAATTCTGCAATTACACATTTCATACAGCTGTGAATCTAGAGGGGAAAAAATAACTCTGACAATCTGCTTCCTAATTAGCACTTTTGTATTAATTGGCACTTGTTTATATATTTCTTTTGAAGTAAATTAATGTCCTATTGACATGGTTGGTCATCTCTCCCTCAAACCTTGACTCATGAGTGGCTTTTCTAGTTCTCAGTTATCATTCACTAAGTGATAAGGCCCATGCCAAACCTAATGTTCCATAACTCCATTCTACGTATACTTTTGTTTTGTTGTTATTATTATTTTTTTTAATATTGCTGACTAAACACAGTATTTAGTGCAAAATGTAATCTTTTCTTAGAAGTGATCTGGAATGTCTAAAAGTATTTAAAAAAAAAAATTCTTCCATAGATTATATTGGCACATGCAATTATTATTATAAGTAGCAAAGCACACATTTTCTCAGTGAACTACTCTACGGGTAAGAGTTACACCCTGGCCAAGATGTCATAAGTACTGCATATACTTATGAGAACAAAGATCAGGAACTTATTACATCTGATTTAACAATCTTCACTACCACCTTTCTCTACATGGATCAATGACAGAGGGTGAACTTGATCAGTAGGCTACAGGAACACAATCTAGAAAAGCACTGATAACGGTTCCCAGGAAAAAACCTTATAGCCCTGTAAAGTAGCTTATGCAATTCTGATACTGGGAACGTATTAAACAAGGTTGTTGTTGTTGTGTGCCATTGAGTCGGACCCGACTCATACCGACCCCTCCTTGGGTTGCCGAGGCAGTATCACTACGGAAGGAGAGTGCCCCATCTTCCTTCCAAAGAGTGGCTGGTGGGTTTGAACTGCCAGCCTTCTGGTTAGCAGTCAAGTGCCTTAGGCACTATGCTACCAGAGTTCCTATTAAACAATGTAGTTAGGCCTTAAAAGTTCATATGAAATAATTTATTATAAAGGTAAATAGCAGAAATAAACTGGCTACTAAAAGACTTTTCAGATATGAATTCAATACAATTCATTTACTGATGCAAGGAATTACAGTAGACAATAACATTTATGTGTCATGTGGTAACCCAAACGTTTAATGGATTTCCTCTATTCCTGAGGAAAGAGAAAGGCAAATGACTAAATATTTGAATCCAGGAAGCTCAGTCTACTGGCCCCACATCTTTCCCTCTTTATTCACTGTTTTCTTGTCTTTTTCCCCTTACGCCTAGCCACCATTTTGCTCTTCTTCCACTACCACAACTCCTTGGCATTTCCTTCTTTCATCCCTCAGGAAATAAACTGTACCCTGACCTGTGCAAACTGTTCCTATTTTTACTCAGAATCCTAGTTTCCTTCTCATCTCTGATGTTTCAGTATAATACCACACATCTCAAAGAACGCTCCCATCTTCTCCACACAGATTCTCTTCCACTTGACTCTGGTTCCTTTCTCTCCCCCACTCTCTCCCCTGCAGTTTATTTCCCTTTTCACTCCTTCCATAATTATTATTTTCTTCCTTCTCCTGTAATTCTTATCCAAATCTGGAATTTCAGATATGGAAATAAAATTCCTTTCCAGAAAAATTATTTTCTCATGCTCAGGAATACAACAGAGTGAGAAAGTCAATGGAAGAGTATTATTAGCATATGGTTTGCAGGCAAGGTGTAAAATATAGACGCTAATAAGGGAAAAAAGGAAAGAGAAGTGTAGACAAAATGGAGAGATGTCAAGAAAAATAAGAATGGTCATCCTTTTCATATTCCCATCCTTGTTACCTAAGGCAGAAGTCGACAAGCTAGGGCCCATGAGCTGAATCTGGCTTGCCCACCTATTTTTTTAAAAAAATTTATTAATGGAATATAATTATGCACATCTATTTACATATTGTTTATGGCTGCTTTTTTGTGCAACAATAGCAGCCATAGTGGTGACAGAGACTATATAGCCTATAAAAATATATCTTGACCCTTAACAGAAAGTTTGCTGACAACTTACCTAAGGTATCTTCTTTCCTTCTCCTGAACTTTTATTCTCCTCTTTGACAGAGGGTTGTACATGGGCTGTTTTTCTCTTTAACATAGACATTGATTCTCTGCAATTTTCCAGGTATTTTACCATACCATTTATAAACAGAGATAATCCAGAGGTTGGCAAACTTTTTCTTAAAGTGTCAGGTAGTAAGTAGTTTGGGACTAATACTCTTATAGGCAAGATTCGAAGTGTTCACATATAACAAAGTATCTTTCCACAGACACTTATAAAGTAAAAAAATAGTTACTTTACAGTGGAGAAACCTGGCTGATACCACCTTAACCAAGTGATCAAAGTTAACATCATCAGTAATATGACATGTTGATAATTTGTACCTCCTTGTTTAATACCATATGCATACAGCTTTGTACTGGTGGCACAGTGGTTAAGGCATTTGAGCACCAACCAGAAGGTTAGTGGTTAGAACTCACCAGCCACTCCACAGGAGAAAGATAAGGCAGTCTGCTTCTGTAAAGATTTACAGCCTTGGAAACCCTGTGGGACAGTTCTACTCTGTTCTATAGGGTCACCGTGAGTTGGAATCAACTTGATGGCAGTGGGTTTGGTTTTGGTTTTGGTTTTGGCTGTTTAATACCATCAGTTTAGTGCCATCAACTTTCCTCTGACCTTGGCTTTAAAAGTATTCCATAGATTATGATATGTAGTGTTTTCATTATCATTTTTTTCCCCTACAACTTCAGTTTGTATTTTCCCTTCTATCCAAGAGGTTTAACAGAAGGCTTTTAAATTTTCAAGGGCTTTTGGTTTTTTGTTTTTGTTAATAATTTCTAGTTTTATTGCAATGTGATCAGACAATGGTTTATTATTTCTATCTTATGGAACTACTTATATTTTCTTTGTGACCTAATTAATATCTGACCAATTTTTGTGATTGCTCCAGAGACACTTGAGCAGAAATTGCTCTATCATCAGGGTGCTGAGTTAGAAAAATATGCATAAGATCTACCTTATTAATCACGTTGTTTAAGCCTTCTATCTTATTTATTCTTTGTTCACCTGATCTATTTTGAATGGAGAGTGGTATATTCAAATTTCCAATTATTATGTTTCTACCTACATCTGCCTGAATCTCCTACAGCTTTTGCTCCTAAAGGTGGTTGCTCTGATTCTGGTGACTAAGGAGTAAGAAATTCTATGTTCCAATTGTGAATTGTGAGTGGCACTTAGTCCATGTTACTTTCAATGCTTTTTTTTTTTTAAATATACTTTGTCTGATAGTAAGATCATATACTTTTTCAGTTTCCATTTGTCTGTGTATCTTTGTCCTTTCTGAAACACTTTTTTCGCTCCCAGGTGTATACAGCATATGCATACAGCTTTGTAAATCAAACTGAAAATCTTCTTCTTTTAGTAGGTGAGTTAAATCCATGCACATTGATATCTTTGACCTCAACTCTGTCATACTATTTTATTATTTCATGTATTTTACTTATAAACTTTCTTGGGGGGGTATTTTTAAATGTTGGCCTTTTCATTCTAATTGCTACCACTGGACATAAAACGTTTTATATGTACTCAGTCCTCTGTTTTTTTTTTTTTTTTTTTTTTAGACCTTATGCTAATGGGTTTTTCAGTTTTGACTGGTATTGTTTTATTTTTCTTTTGTCTTTAAGAAGTCTAAAAATAAAATGTCATTCCTTCTTTCTCTTTCATTTGCACTACTTTCTCTCTTGCCCTTTTAAAACATTTATCTCATTTTCATTCTCTTTTTTTCCCCTCTTCCTGCCCCTATTCAGTGCCCTTATTAAACTTTCATTTGAGGCTATTCTCCTTTGTACATTCTGTAATTTACTCTTCAATTGTGAGATAATTTTGGCTTTGTCTTCCATTTCATTCCTGAGTTCAATTATCTCTCATTTCATTTCCTTTTTTTTTTTTACCATTTCTGTTCGTAGTTTTAAAATTTCTGATTGAAGATGTTTTTTCATATCTTCAAATGCTTGAATCTATTTAATTCCACTTAGGGTTTTGTCTTAACAGTTTTCTTCTGCTTTACAATGTTTCTTCTGCTTTCATGATATTTACTGACAGTAAATTTCCTCAGTTGATATGTATTGAATTTAATCCCCCTTTCTTTTTTGCAAGACCTTTTGTTGTTCATTCTTGTGGTATTAGACTGTTTTATAAGATTCATAGTTTAATGGCTCTATTTTCTATCACTACAGCAAAGTTTATCTATTACAGTGGATTTTTATTTATTTTTCTGGTCAGAGGAAGGACTGTGTGCCCTCGATTTTGTAGTTCTCTTTTGTCTTGTAGGTCTCTAAATTTTATTTTCCATTTTTGCCAATTATTGATTTATTGAATTTCAGCTCCAAATTCATGCCTTTTTTCTGCTCTGTGAAAATGGACCTGGGCCCTTTAAATATTTTCCTTTTCCAGCCAGCACTGGAGCTTTGTCAATAGAGGGCATTAGAGCAACATCACTCTAAAGGAAAGCTCCTTTAGCAAGCTGCCCCAGCAGTTGAGTGTTACTTGAGAATCAGGCTCCTGAAGTACCATAGCATCTTCATTGACTGTCTCCTGAAGCATGGTCGCCTTTTTTAGCACCAGGCTCCTACAGTGCAACCAACAGTTCCCCCAAGTAACTCCCATGACCAGAGAGTTCTATAACAGAGTGCTTCTGGTGAGACACCTCCCAATGAAGAGCTTTCTCTAGCATCCTAGAAGGCAGCTCCACAAGTTCTAGAGGGCAGACTGATGGCAAGTTCCAAACAATGGATTTTCAGCAACTTTTGTGGTACCACGGTGACTTCTCTGCCATCCAGTGAGTCATAAATGTGCCCTCTCCAATAACTTTGGGATCTCAGCCTTGGGGATGCTCTTCATTTAGTGATTAATCTTAGTTCCAGGTGCAGTGGGTACACCTTACATTTGCTTTTTCTGTATTCTTCACACTTTTCCTTATTCCTTCCTAGACAATCTATTAGCATTCCAATTCCCTGTTAGAGATAATAATTCCTTACAGCAATTTTCCCTGTTCAAATTAGTGTGATTTCTCTCTGGATTGGACCCAAACTGACACATCATCTTTTTTCTTTGATCCTTCAACTGACAAAGGGTGTTTATTTCTTTTTGTCCTTTTTCTGCCCCAGCAGCTATGAGTTTTTAATCATATGTATTTTTATTTCCCTGTAGTTCACAATCTGATCTACCTAGATAATTTTTTAGTGTATTCATTCTTAGGATGAATTTAGTATTTCTGGTGATAGTCCTGGAACAACCATAGGCCCTATTTTGAATTTCAATCTTGCAGTTTTTCTCAGTCTGCCAGTAGTAGCCTTGTAGCAAGGGGAGGGGAAGCAGGACCATGAGATCTAGCACTAGCATTTGGTGCCTTTTTTTTTCTCTCTCTCTGTTAACTTAGTTATTTTGAAGTTTGGGCACTTTCAAGTTGTGCTGAGGACATGGTTTTTGTATAGTTCTATTTTTCCTTTCTTGTTGCTCTGTGATTTTTGGAGGAAATACTGAGATGTGGAATGAAACTGCCTTCACTGTCTTCAGCTACCCTAAAATTCTATCGCATGGAAAATTTGAGACATCTACTTCTAGTGACAATCAAAAGAGAAGAAGGACAAAGCAAAAACATAAGAATTAAAATTCCTAGAGTGACTCCAGCTCTATCACTAATAATTGCCAAAAGTTGGATGGTTTATTTCAGTGCTAGGCTTATTTCCTCATTTGTAAAAGGGGGTGGCTGGACTAGGGCAGTGAGTCCTAAACCCAGATTAGCATAAGAAAGACCTGATGCATTAGGATTTCTTTGCCCTACTTCTTATTCTGACTCAGTATTTCTGGGGTGGTCCCAGGAATGGATATTTTAAACAAACACTGTGGTGATTCTGATGCTGCTCCTGAAGTGTCACATTTAGGAATCTTTAGCAAGAAATTGGTATCATCTCCAGGTATATAAGTCTATATAAGCTTTTCCAACTAAAAAAGTCCTCGTGATCTCATCTTTTACTATAAAATAAAAGCAGTGTACTACTATTAAAATATTCTAATTAGCTTACGTTGTATGAAGATTTTTCTCTATTCATTTTTTTTTTTAAACAAAGTAATACAAAGCAACCAGAGCAGGTGAAAATAGGCCTGGGAGGAAGGGTGACAACAACAAAACAAAACACAAAAGTAACTACATTTGGTACACATGGAGGAGGAGGAGGAAATATACCATAACCTCTTGCCAATTCATTTTGAAAATGAAATCATTCTTAGGAGAAACATGCTGAATGTTTTGGTCCCACTAAACTTAAGTATAGTATAGTTAGATGTAATGGTGGCTCACTCTTTCCAGGGTCCCATATATTCTTTAGCAGTAAATGCAAGAGCCTTTTGGTTTTGAAGAAAATCTAGTGATACCTACAAGTCACACAAGCTCCTTAAAAGCCCCCATTTTATAGGAGCTCTGGTAGTGTAGTGTCTAAGGCATTTGACTGCTAACCAGAAGTCTGGTGGTTCAAACCCACCAGCCACTCCTCGGAAGGAAGGTTGGGCAATCTACTTCCATAGTGATACTGCCTCGGAAACCCAAGGAGGGGTCACTATGAGTCGCGTGTGACTCCACGGCACATAACAACAACAACAAAGAAAAGTAATACTAAACAAAGACACATACAACAGCAACGTTAATTCAAGGAAATCCATGGCATTTCCCCTGTCCTGACATTTGGTCATCTGAGGGAGTATGGATGAAATAAATATAAGATAAATACTAATAATACTAATAAATACTAATATAAAATAAATACTAATGCAATACATCCAGGAAAGACACAGCTAAGTGATCTCTTTTGTTCTTACCCAATTGCAGCAGGGGTCAAGCGGGTGTGTAACTGAGGAGTTGTAGAAGTGGTAGTGGTTGTTAGGGAGCCATCAGTTCCAGTCTTCTCCCAGTCAAAAGGGTCACTCTCAATTACACCAAAAGTCTTGATGCTGTTGTCAAACACGGATGTAAGAAGCTAAACCACAAAGAAAAAAACAATTAAGTTAGGCAACACTTTATTCTAGAAGAAAAAGCACTCCAGACTCAAAACGGTTTTGTAGTAAGATTTTCTTTAATAGTTGATGGAACAAATCGGAGAAATTTCAATAAGGACAATATATGGAGGATGATATTGAATTAATATTTATTTTTCTCAAATGTGCAAGTGTTATGATTGTGTAAGAAATTATCTCTGCTCTTGGAAGATGCGTAATAAAGTGTCCTGGTACCTATAACATACTATCAGATGGTCTGACAAAAGGAAATATGATGTGTGTATTCAGATGAACCATATCTTCTTGATAATTTTTTTTTGACTTGGGGTTAATAAAGGAGTGAAGTGTTTATGGTTCACCCTAATATATATAGACCAAAAAACCAAACCCAACTCACTGTTGTCGAGTTGGATCCGACTCATAGCAACCCCTCCCTTAGGTTTCTGAGGCAGTATTACTATGGAAGTAGATTGTCCAACCTTCCTTCTGAGGAGTGGCTGGTGGGTTTGAACTGCCAGCCTTCTCGTTAGTAGTCACATTCCTTGGCTCTATGCCACCAGGAATCCTAATACATACTAAGAGATGGATAATATGATCAATGTTAATAGTTGGTCTGTCAAGGTAAAGGGTCTATAAAAGTTCATTGTGCATTCTCCCAATGTTTTGAGGGTTTAAAAATTATTGTGTGTGTGTACATATACAAATTATCAAAATGAAATTAGCCCTAGCAGTTCTCTTTCTCTCTCTGTGTCTTTAAATTACCATATTCTGATGTGGTCTTGAGAAAGAGCTCACAAAGACCTTCCTTGACTATTTCTGATAGTACTCACCATTTTTAATTCTATGATTATGGATTCATTCTCTACTCCTCATTTCCTCTTACTCTGTTAGCATCCCATTCTTGGAGTTTCTCCCTGCTTCTATCTTCTTATGTATCTTTAGGAATCATACTTATTTTAATTCCCAGATCTACTCTTCCCCTATTTATTTGGTTTTGAACATTTCTTTCCTAAGATGCTATATGTCTCAAGACCAAATCTCATGGAAAATAAAGATTGCTCAAATTATTAAATTTTCCTGTTTCCATTTAATAAACTCAAATGTCAACTTCTCATTTCTATTACAAATAGCAGTCATTACTGTAACATTTCTTCTATAGTATTATTAAACTTAAGAACTCTGGTGGTTCAGTAGTTAAAGTACTTGGCTGCTAATCAAAGGTTTGGCAGTTTGACACCCAGCTGCTCTGCAGGAGAAAAGATGTGGCAGTCTGCACCCATACAGATTTATTGCCTTGGAAGACCTGTGGGGCAGTTTTATTCTGTTCTACAGGGTTGCTATGAGTTCCAATCAGCTTGATGGCAGTGGGTTTGGTTTGGGTTATTATTAAACTCTATTTCTTCATTTCAATTGCCAGACTCTGGGTACACCTCATTTTGACTTCTGCAGTATTCTGTTACTTGAAATTTTGTCTGTAAGTTTTGATCTCTACCTTTCCTCTCATTGTTAGATAAGTGAATTGGGGCACAATTTTTTTATGAGCCTTAATTTTCCCATTTGCAAGCTGGATTATTACAAGTAGTGTGGTAGTTAAGGTTGTGTGTCCACTCAGCTGGCCCATGGTTGCGTGCAGTTATTCCCCATGATGAGATTGTAATAACCTACAGGATGGAATCTGCAGTGAGCACCTAATCAGTTGAAGGAGAGTTGCCTTCGGGATATGGCCTCCTTCTAGTATATAAGGTGAACCTTTGAGAACGGCCTCTAGCTTTTGGCACATCTGAGACCTACATTTGGCTGATTTTGGCCTGCCATGTTGCCTGTTGATTTTGGGATTTGAACCAGTGCTTTGCCATGTTGCTTGTCAATCCTGGGTTTGCCAGCCTAAGCAGCCAGGAGCTACATGTGTTAGAAAAAGCCTCCAGTTCCAGTGGGCCTAGAACAGGAGGCAGAGTTGAAGCCCAAGGTTGGGGGGGCCCTTCATTCATCCCCTGGAACCAATACTTTGAATTAGGACTTCTAGCCCCCTAAATTATAAGAGAATAAATTCCTATTTGTTAAAGCCATCCACATGTGGTATTTCTGTTACAGCAGCATTAGAGAACCAAGACAAATAGTGAATAAAAGTTTTACCTAGTAGGTGATCAATAAAATGTTAAGCAAATCAGAATCATCTGCTCTTCTAATTTTGCCTCTTTTGGTTAATTTTAGGGATAACTTCTTATTTTCTGCATCATTAGCTTCTGATATCAGTAAAAGCTTTTACAAATATATTTATGCTCTTCTTTGTATTCAAAAGGATTTTAGCTGGTCTCCCTATCTCCACATATTTTTACTACTGTAATTCATCTTTAACAGTCACTAAAATAATTTTTCACTAACATTATTTAAACTTCATTATGCCCAATAAAGAAGTTATTAGTGTCATATATCCAAGTTTCTAAGACTTTCATTTAGTTCCATCAAGTAAGCCTCTTGGGCTCTCCTATTGCATCCTTTAAAACTCCCTTTTCTTGACCTAGTCAATCTTTTTTTTTTTTGCTTCCTATTTATCTCTATGCCTATCCTTATTCTATGAACCCTACTCAGAAGTCAACCTCTAAGTTTCCTCCTATTTTATCATACTCATATTTATCTTAAAATTTATTGCAAGTCCTATGTCCTCCCAGTAAATTCATATGAAAACTCAACTCATGGTACCAAGATCAGAAATAATATACTCAACTGACATAGTGGAAACAGCATGACTTTTGAGTCAGACAAATCAGAACTTAAATTCCAACACTCTGCTTAATAACTGTGTAAATTTAAGTTTCTTTTTTCTTTCCTAGTTTTTCTCTTTTAGTAATAAAAGTAAAATTTTCTTATGGTAAGAAAATTCAAACAGCAGTAAGGAGTATAATAAAGTAAAAAGAAAAAGATGCCCCATTTTGCCCATTTCTGGTCTCATTCCTCAAGAATGAAGTTTCTCATTCCACTGTTAATAGATTATTGTACATCTTTCCACATATAAAACTGAATTCTATGGAAATTTTTAATGAAGGTAAAAATACCGTATTTGTATACTTTTTACACAAATATGACTATGGTATATTTTTTGTCCATATACTGGCTACTCCTTTCAGTCTCCTTTTGCTGGCTTCTCTTTTACCCTAGCTTGAGGCAAACAATAATCTACCTTTAGCCTCTATGTATTTGCCTATTCTCAACATTTCACATAAGCAGAATCATACAATGGTTCTTTGTGACTGGCTTCTTTTACTTCACATGTATTCAAAATTCATTCATTTTTGTAGCATGTATCAGTACTTCCTTTCTTTTTATCCTGAATAACATCCCATTGTGTGGAAATGCTACTACCTCTTATATATCCTTTCATCAATTGGTGAACATATGGGTTGTTTCCATTTTATGGCTATTATGAACAATGCTACTATGAACATTCATGTGCAAGATTTTGTATGAACAAATGTTTTCAATTCTCTTGGGTATATAGCTGGGAACTGAATTTCTGGATTATAAGGTAACTATAAAGACTTCAGTCTGCAGTATGGATAACATCTCAACATAAAGAAAACAAAAATCCTCACAACTGGCACCAATAAGCAGCATCACAATAAATGGAGAAAAGACTGAAGTTGTTAAAGATTTCATATTACTTTGGTTCCACAATCAACACCAATGCAAGCAGCAGTCAAGACATCAGATGACATATTGCACTGAGCAAATCTGCTGCAAAAGGCCTCTTTAAAGTGTTGAAAGCAAAGATGTCTCCTTGAAAACTAAGGTGCACCTAACCCAACCCATGGTATTTTCAATTGCCTCATATGCATGTGGAAGCTGGACAATGAACAAGGAAAACCGAAAAAGAGATGCTTTTGAGTTGTGGTGTTAGCAAAGAACACTGACATGAACTGCCAAAAGAATGAACAAATCTGTCCTGGAAGAAGTGCAGTCAGAATGCTCCTTGGAAGTGAGAATGGCCAGACTTCATCTTACCTACTTTGGTCATGTTGTCAGAAGAGACCCTTCCCTGGAGAAGGATATTGTTCTGGTTACCTAGTACCACTCTGACAAGAACATATCACAAATGGAATGCCTTTAACAAACAGAAGTTTATCCTTACAATTTGGAGGCTTTAAGTCCAAGTTCAAAGTGCCAGGTTATAGGGGCTGTGTGAAAGCCCCTCGACCTTGGGCTTCAGTTCTGCCTCTTGCTCCTGACTCCCTGGAGCTAGAGGTATCTCTTCACTCAGGCAGCTACTGGCTGCTGAGGCTAACAAGCCCAAGGTTGTTGACAAATAAAATGGCACAGTCCCAATGTTACCAAACCACATAGCAGGCCATTAATTTAAGTACATTGTAAATTCCAAGGTCGGCAGAGCATGGCAGGCTGCTGAACAACGACACGGCTACATGTGGGGTCCAAGCATGCCATAAGCTGGAGACCATTCCCAAAGCTGCTTCTTATATACGGGAAGCAGACCACATACCCAAAGCAGCGACTCAGCTGCTCCAATAGATTCCACCATGGAGTTAATTACCAATCTCACCATGGGGAATAACTACATTCAGCTGCCCAGCCACTCAACCAGGTCCAGCCAAGAGGACACACAAACTGTAACCACCACAGATATCATGCTTGGTAAAGTGGAGGGTAAGTGAAGAAGGGGAAGGCCCTCAGCAAGATTGATTGACAAAGTGGCTACAATGAAGGGTTCAGGTATAGCAAAGATTATGAGGCTGTCACAGGACTGGGCAGTGTTTCATTCTGTTGTACATAGGGTCACTATGTGTCAAAGCCGACTCAATGGCACCTAACAACAACAACAACAAATATATTTGTCTGTTGCTAAAGGAAATGCACCATTTTACATTCTCACCAGCAATTTGGTTCCAATTTCTCCAGACTCACCATGCAGTCTTTGATTACAGCCATCAAGTAGAGGGTCAGAAAAAGTGCAGGAAACCTCAATGACATG